TTGCTTTCGTATGATAGCGATATTAAACTTCGTATGATGAAATACACTGCTCGTTGCTAGCTCTAATGCATATGTTGCTATGCATAGAAACAAACAGTAAACATATGGAAGCACTCATGCTGTTTTTTCTTTTGCTATCTTATTGATATGACGCTTTCAGTGATCAGTTTATATTTACTGATGATATTGATTTGATTGGATCTAATCGTTATTCTGTTCAATCGATTGCTGAAACAGTGAACTTATTTATTATTTTGTAACACTGTTAGTGTTCTACAATATGCGTAGTATTGCATACTAGCTATTCATAACGCACTGTTCAATCATTTTAAATGCAAATATTTAGCTAGACACGTGTCAATAGAAATCCTGAATGTGTAATGTTAATTTGCAAGCTCGCGATTGGCATTGAAATAATTCTCTTGAACGTATTGAAATTGAGTTTATCAGATTAATCGTAAATATATGAACGATCACGAGAAAACGTGATTTTCGTCGAGAGTGACTCATCCTTTGGATTTTATAATTTTTCGAATTTGATTTCAGTTCATGCAATATGGCAGCAGTAATAAATGCTCGCCCTGGGTCGTCTACGCCAACTAGTATGGGTGACGCGAAACCAGGTACCAAGTGGCTACTGATTCTCGCAGATTTTCAGCACACTTACAAAATCTTTTTGTAATTTTAATAACAAAACTGATGAATCTTAAAATAAAACTTTGAGAATGCTCATAAAACTTCTGTGCGAAATCGTAAAATTGTTGATAATCATTGACTAGATTGAATGGTATCAAGTAAACATTTCGTTGTGAGATTTTTCATTTCGTAACGAATTCCACTCAGCGTAATCTCGAAATGATTTTTGTCTCTGATATCAGGCTTGGAAATAATCGAAACTTTTTCATTTTTTCGGGAAATCGCAAAAAATATTCTAGAATTGTCAATAGAGTTTGTGTGTTTCAGTGCTATTGCATAAGATCGAAGGCCAAGTGGCTCGTGTGAATGCGATCTTCTTGTTGACAAAAGAGGATGGTGTGATTACGATCAGTGATGATCGTTCCATATGTATTTGGTTGAAACGGGACAATGGACAGTTCTGGCCATCCGTTAATCATTTTATGCCTTTCGCCCCGACGGCACTCTGCTTTACCGAGCAAACTCTCAAGTTCGTTCACGATTCTCATCCAGAACATTTCATAATTGCATCCGTAATAAAGCATCCATAAGATTACCTGGATTGGCCAGGCTATCAAACGTTTGTAACGTTGCTGGGCACAATGCTCGCAGTTTCCGTGCACATTCTTTTAACCTCAATTTACGCCACCCCGCTGGTTAGGCGAGCAGGCCAACCGAACACAACCGAGTAATTAATTAGTTGTCGTGAATACTTTGCAAAACGAATCGTAGCCAAATGTCAAACCAATAAATTAATTAGTCGCCGTGAATACTTTGCATAATTAATCGTAGCCAAATATCAATCCAATAAATAATCATAACTTTAATATAATAAATATTCCGCCGATCGCTCACAGCGATTGACAAAACAACCACTCGATGTCCAAGTAACAATAAACAAGATACGATCCATAAGATGCATCCATAAGATACGATCCACAAAATCCATGCAACAGTATTATTCAGTTGATGCGTTCAGCCAGTCTATCGTGGGTTCAGTTGAATCAGCTGAGATCATCATCCATTGAGGAGTTTCGTTGTTTTCACGCAGTCATTCATTGATTTCAGGTTACTGGTTGGTTTAACAAATGGAACTCTGTATGAGTTTACAGTGGCCGAGGATATGAATAGTATAAGTGAGACACGAAATTGGGATGTTCATACGATCACCGTAACGGCTGTTTTGTTTTCGATTCAAGCCGAACTTATTTTTAGTTGTAGTAAAGATAAATCGCTGGTGTGGCATTGCTCCGAAACTTCTGTTAAACTTGGTATCTGCTTAATTCTCTACCTTACATATACTCCTCCATCATGATATCTGTAACAAGTCCAACAATACTAGTAACAATGATAAGAGAAGCAGTAGTATCCCAGAAAATACAACACTGACGAATACACAGATGAATCCGTATGGATGCCTATTATTAGGGTGCATAAGCAAAACTGTTTTCTCAACGAAACCCATCCCTATACCGATCCGTGATTTTTTTTTTGGATCTGATCGGTCGATCTCTGATCGATTTGTGATTATAAGCAAAAAACAGAACGAAACTCATCTCTACTCCTTGAGCAAATATAAGGAAATAAAGAAAAAAATTTTGTCTTTCGAAGCAAACTTCGGCCTCTTTTCCAGGAACTTATTTGTGTGAGTCGAGTTGTATGGCGCTTCAGTTTGATGCAGCGTCGAAATTTATGTTTTTGGGTGATGGCGGTGGGAACATTAATTTGTTACGATTGAACGACGCTGAAGCACAATTCGTAACGAAGCTCTCGGCGCATACTGGTAATATTATCATTATGCTTGATTTCATACGTGATCACATCCAAATAAAATCAACCGATACTCTAATCGAACGGATTAACGAGTCAGCTCGATCACCATCGCCTCCATTCTGAGTGCTTGCTGCTCTAAATGATAGAGTTGAAAAACTGGAATTCATGGAAACTTTTTCAAGGTTCCATAACATCACTGGAATGGGATTGTGCTCGACAAATGCTGTTTTCTGCGTCCACAGATCATTTGGTGATAATGTGGGACATCGGAGGAAAGAAGGGGCAGGCGTTTGAGTTGAAGTAAGAACTTCATTTCGTTATAAGTATACTGCTTTATTCTATTATCATTACAGTACCAACTGTATGTATTAAGAAAGATTTGTATTGAAGAGATGATCATGAAAGTAATATAATAATGATTATAATAATAATGCACCGTTCTCTTAGAATACCATTGTCGTACGTGTGGAAATTCTATGAATCTGAATTGTACTAATAATAATAATCACTGGATGATTATTAGTAATATGAAGTGAGATAATAATAATAGTAATAGTATTAAGAATAATAATAGTAATAATAATAATAGTAACCAAAAATAATATGAATAATGACGAACCAAATAATAGTAAAGATAATATGTTGAGTGCTCACGATGCGAAACTGTCGTGTTTGGCGTATGCGGATGGTGCGAATCGTTTGTTTTCGGCCGATGAGAATGGAACATTGGTTTGTTGGGATATGAAGGCGAAGCGAATCGAAACACCCGAATGGAAGACGAGTGATAATTGTCAGTTGTGTGATGCACCGTTCTTTTGGAATATCCGTGCGATGTGGGATAGAAAGGTATTCATTTCATTGCATATGTAGATTTGTTGAATTTTTGATTATTTGCTTAATAAGTGAATTGAAATTAAGGCGTTTTCCGATCTGATCTGTCGTTTATATAGAGTATGATCTGATGAAGTTAGCGAAGAACGCAAATTCTGTGAATGTATTTGCATATATAGGTACTTACAAGTTTGTAGTATTCTGTTAAGGTCTCTGGAAATCGATTTTGTATTGAATAGTTTCATCTATACATGATATGATGATGGTTTTAAGTTTGATTTGCATAATTAGTCGTGGCCAAATATCAATCCAATAAGTAATCGTAACTCTAATAAAATAAATATTCTGCCGATCGCTCACAGCGATTGATGTCCGAGTAACAATAATAACAGTGATGA